GCTCAGATTGTTGCTGTCCACCCACAGACTTTGATAAATTATTCAATGGCCACTCTCGTCATTCCAGACATTTTGAAGATGGGGATAGTGGTCCCACTGCTCAAACCGAGGAAGCCAGCCAACAAAGGAGAGTCTTATCGCCCGATAGCGAAGACAGTAGAAGCCTTACTACTCCCGTATTTCACGAACCACCTGACCCCAGTGAAGCATCAGCATGGGTTCCGTAAAGTGCACAGCACAACAACAGCACTTAACGCGATAAACACCCAGATAACTCGTGGACTTAACCGAAACCGCCCCTGTGAGAGAACTATTCTAGTAGCGTTGGACCTGTCTAAGGCGTTCGACACTGTCAGTCATTCTACGCTGCTATAAGACATAGAGGTCTCCTCACTCCCACAGGGACTCAAACGGTGGTCGACGAATTACCTGAGTGTTTAGGGACAAAACCCGCAAGCTACGAAAAATTAAACAGGGGGTACTACCACAGGGTAGTTTCCTGTCCCCACTACTGTTTAATTATTATATCTCAAAGCTCCCTCAACCACCAGAGGTTGTAAATATTGTCTCTTATGCTGACGATCTTGTCTCTTATGTTCGATCATGGCGTCTGGGAATGAAATTGATGACTTGTGCTCGAAAGTAAACGGTTATCTCGCCGAACTTTCTCGCTTCTTCACTGCAAGGAGCCTTGCCCTATCCCCTGCGAAATCCTTGGCAACCCTTTTCACCACCTGGACGAAGGAGGTCAGACTGCAACTGGGTATTCACGTCCATGGCGTAACAATACCGACGGTGAATAACCCGAAAATCCCCGGAGTTACCTTCGACAGTCTGCTCTCCTTCTCGGCGCATACAACCGCAATTGTCAACAAAGTACAGAGCCGCAACAATGTTCTCAAGTCGCTGGCCGGCAGCACTTGGGGCAAAGATAAAGAAATGTTGTTGGCAACATACAAGGCAATTGGCCGGCCGGTTCTAAACTATAGGCGCCCGTGTGGTCGCCTGGGACTAGCAGGACGCAGTGGATGAAGCTACAGACTTGCCAGAATACTGCACTACGGACAGCGGCCGGATGCCTCCAGATGACGCCCAACACCACCTGTAGGACGAGGCCCTGATGTTCCTAGTCAAGGAGCATAACACAATGCTCTGCAAGCAGTTCCTTGTGGGGAGCCACAGACGTGGTCATCCTAGCAAACAGCTGCTTGCAGAAGAGCCCTCGATAAGGCTCGTAAGGGATGGAGGCATCCCTACGAACTGACGGACGAAGTCCAGAGGTTCATCAAACAATCTCTGGACCCGTCATCTTATCGACAGGCCTTGAGCGGCATTCACAGGGAGTCAGTCTCGAGTTATGTAGACTCCCGCCCTTTGAATGCTGTTCTAGGCACACAACCACCTGAAGTGGACGGGACAGAACTTTGTCTGCCTCGAGAGACCCGCACCACAATAGCCCAGCTTCGCTCTGGCTATTGCGAGGATGTGCCCAACCAATGCACGGCATGTAGAGAGTCGCCACATGACTCTCGGCACCTCTTCACACGCCCTGAGAACCCCACCCAGCTGACACTCCTGTCCTTATGGACAGACCCTGTTGAAGTCGCACACTACCTGGGCCTCCCCTTAGCTGAAACAGACGACAACAGCAACAATATTTCTCCTAACAAACATTAAGTTTACAGAACGATTAGAAAACGTATCTAATTTTAATGTGTTTCTCTAAAGTTTAAGGTTCGAAGATGATTAGAGAAACCATGCGACAAAAACAAACAAATTGCGAAACACATTAAGCAATCAATATACTCACAAAACTATGGGCCAAATATAGTAAAACTGCGTTTTTAGTTTTCCTCTCTGTCGTCACGACTTTGCAGTTTCAAAAATATGATTGATTCCAAAAATTATTTAAAAAATTTAGTGCAATGTAGAAAAACAATATGAGTACCAAATGAAAGAGAAAATTTTGCAGAATTTAAACAAAATTAAAATTTGTTTGGTTCACAAGGACGAATAGGTATCTAAAATACCCTTTTATTTAGTAAATTTTATTTTTTAAGCTTACAAAGCTAGAAGGACGAGATTCGAGGATGGGCTCGGGTGTATATTAGTCCTTAACATATATATATATATATTTTTAATTCTACAGATTTTCTCTTTAATTTAATACCCATATAGTTTTTCCACATTGCACTGATTTTTTAAAATAATTTTTATATTATATTTTTAAAATTTCAAAGTTCTTTAAAAAAATTATTCGAGAATGGGACGTGACACCTCCCAGACAAATTGAACATAAAAAGAAAATTCCAACTTGAATTAAGGGAATGAGTTAATTTGAAAATGTTATCACAATGTGTGTGTCAAACGAGACTGATTTAAGGAGGTTGTGGATAATTTGAAAATGTTTTGAGGAGGTTGCCACCTGTTTGAAAAGTGAAATTTAATTAAATTATACACAAGTTACATGAAATATTAAACCAAGACTGTTAAGAAATATTTTGTTTAAACATTTTGAATATTTTTTAGAGGTTCGAAGAGGCTTGCCAACTGTTAAACCCGCAACACTGGTGTCAGACGAAAGAGAAGGTTTTAGTGTGGAAATATTTTAAAAGGGGTTTCCACCTGTTTGAAATGCTAAACTCAATTCAATTATACACAAGTTATATGATATATGTACATACAAATATTAATTATGCGTGTCAATCGAAATAGTGTTAAGAAATTTTTAGTTTGGCCATTTAGAATATTTTTGAGCTGAAGACATATTCGACTTATTTAATAAGTTAAATGAATTATCACAATATGAGCATCAATAGAAACGGTTTTGAAAATAATTTTTGTCTGTCTGTCTGTATGTTTATTCGCGGATAGCTCCAAAACTAATGCATGAAATTGAATGCAGTTTTCACCGGTGTATTTCTAGAGGTCTAACTTAAAATATATATATAAAAAGATAGAGTTGCCACCTATTTGAAAATTACAGTTTAAGTAAATATTAAAATATGGCTGTCAAAAGAAAGGGGTTTAAGAAGGCTTACAGCCGAAAATATTTATTGTGCATTTAATAGAATTTTTAAATGAAATTAAATATTACAATACGGGTATCAAACAACACAAAAATACTTTTAAGGCGCAGTGAAGCACGCCGGATATTGGCTAGTTTCGAAATAAAAAATATACAAGATAAAAGAATCACCTATGTTTTTGGCTAAGTTTAAGTATGTTGAGTTTTATTGAAATTATTTACACCAAACGTTACACACAGAAATTTCATACACTCAGCGATGAAAGTCAGGGCAAACTAGTTTTCTATAAAAAGAGAACTTACTTATCGAAAAAAGGTTAGATATTTAATAGTATTCTAACGTTGAGTTTGGTTTGGTTTATAATCTCTAGTGCTTTTCACTCAAATGCAAAAATTCGTAACTTATAACAAAATTCAAAATTCACTTTTTGATCGTTTTACGAAAAAAATGGTCCCGAATTTTTTCATTTCAAAGACGATGTTGTTACGTTATTTTGCATTTCAGGTGACGATATATGTTTAATATGATTTGTGATTCGAGAACCATTAGAAAACGGAGACTACTTATTTACTTCCTTTCATTTGAAAATTGGAAAACGGGAATTAATGTTGATCTCAATGCATTACGATGAATTGTCGCGTAATCACAATCGAGGGATTGAAATTTACCACCTCCCACTTTATTACAACTGAATTTGAATACAGCTTTTTTCTGAGGCAGCGAAATTTGCCAAATTAGTAGAAGATCAATTAAAGCATTTAGTGCATTGCCGCTTTAGTGAGTCTATTAAGAGCATAACACAGTAACCTCAATCAAGCCATACGCAGAGATTGCTGTATACGTACTAATTATAATCAAACGTAGAAAGTGTGCTCGTGTGTGTGAATGTCGAAATGTCACATACCTCCGATGACAATGCCTGCGTCAATGCCGATGGCGATGCTGATAGCGGACGATTAGGCAAGTGTTGCTGACTCAATTCAGCAGCGGTAGCATGTAGATCACCCTTGCTTAAATTATTATTGATTTGTATGAGCAATTCTTCGATTGTGTTGCCGGTTGTTGTCGTTGTAGTTGGTAGTGAATTTGCACCACATCCATTGTCATTACTACTGCTCGAGCTGGTTTGCAATGAACGCGAAATTGGCTGAATAGGAGATTGTCGACTAATTGGTGGAGAGGCCCGACTTGCCGCCGCTGCTGCAATGGGACGGAATTCGTCACGTTTATTCAAAGTATCCATTATATCGGATGCCACTAGGCAACCATTCAATGCATTTGCAATATGCTGCTGTCGTGATTCCGGCGTGGTGGTCCGATCAAAGGGTAGTAGTGGTGAATGTGAGTGGTGTGGTGTTGTAGGACGCGATGATGGTTGTGATATTTGTCCTTGATCTGTTGGCGTTGAGGGCTGAGAATCGCTGCGCACCAAACTTATTGGCCGCTTTATTAAATTTGAAATGAAATCCATTTTTGTTGGATGAGGGTTTTTATAGAGTTGATGCTTGTAGTCTTTGCTTTATTTCCTTTTTAAGCTTTTGTGACAATGGCGCGAAGAAGAGGGAGAGAGTAGGTTTCTTTTCGAGCGGTGTGTTGAAGAACACTTAACAATTTGCACTCGTTTGTAATTATCTCCTTTCTAGATTTTCTTAAATTAGCAAATTTTCAATTATTTTCGTCTCAAATCACTTAGCACGCACGAATGATTTACGCGAATTACGTTTGAGTGTGCGTTGTGGTGTGGCGTCGCGCCTTCATAACGAATGCTAACCCTTGTTTTTTTTTGTCTGCGCGTCTGAAATGGTTAAATAATCACGTAATTATTGATTAATTGCTCGAACGACGGGGTGACTTAATTTTCACAACGTCTAGCGACTGTTTACACTTTTACTTTTTTTCGGAATAATACCAAATAACTTTATTCTCGTTTCATTTAGTTTTTTTTCCTTATTTGAAGCAAAATATCAATTTTTGAAAATTATAGTGCGTCTTCTTTGCTCTGAGCTCGACGTAAAAATATTCAGAGTATTTTTATTTGATCGTTTAGTTTACGAGAATGCTCGAGTAAACACATCAATGTGCATAAGTTTGTATGTACTACCCGACGGACCAAGCTGTGCGGCCACAATTAAACGCGAACTAATAGCTGAATCGTTCACCCGCGTCCTCCGAGGTGTTGTTACCGCTGTGGCGCGCAAGTGCGGGTAGCTATTTCGGTAGGCAGCGTCGTCTTCCGTTGCTCCGCTTAAATTATTGATTGCGCGACGATGTCGTGCGTTGTTTACGATCGCCAATACAGAAACTAACTACCACTACCTCAGCGGTACATACCGCTTCGTTGTATGTACATATGTTCAAATTTGAAAGCATTTTCCACAATTTTTCAATTCAGCTGCTTTTTGTTGAACTTTTGCTCACTTTGCTTTACTTTCCCATCACAAATAACCAATTGTGTATCGTACAATCGCACATCACCGTGATCGGCGGCGAGATCTTCGAGACTTTAGTGTTGAATGCTCTCGGTTGCTTTTCATCGCTGCTATGTATATGTCGTTAGATGCCTTTATCTGCATTGTTTTGTGATTGTTATTTGGCTTCTGAATAAAAATTCAATTTGCGCATTCGGCACACAGATATGCATTTTATTTTAATGACACCACTGTTGTGTTGGGTGTTAATTTGGGGGATTATTTTATAGTGTAAATGAAAGGTTTTGGGAATGCTAAGACGCGGATGGTTTCATTAATTCGCGAAAAACATACACTTACGGACAAAAAACGATGTCTGGCCATGTTTTGCTGTTTTCCTTTTATTTCTATAAAAGTCTAGCTCACCATATAAATCCTCATTTACAACTTTGTCTAAAAATTTAGCCAAATTTCACCAAAAGTTCAAACTTTTTAATCATAATTTTTAGAAAAAAATTTTAGGTTTACAGCCATGGTACAATAATTACAGGTATTGTCTTCCCAGAGAGCGCATATTCCGATCTGCCTTATTTAAAAAATATCATTGTTGCCCACACTAAAAGGTTTACTGCTTGGGAAAAGGGATATATCCATACCCTATATACCATATATGTTCACGTATTTTTTTTTTTTTTTAACAAACCTTCTTGCAGAGAACTTATTTAGTTTGTAAAAGCCGGAAAAAATCATTTGCTTGTAAATAAATTAATGTGCAGCGAATGTGAGCGAAAGCAAAAGGCCACACCAAATAAAACTAGAAGAATCAACATTGAATTGCGTCAAAATGAAGATAAGGGGGCACGAATTTCGATATGAAGCAAAACTCTCTGGGAAGAGAATACCTGTAATTATTATACCATGGTTTACAGCCAGTTTCACGAAATAGTTTATGTATGTGAATTTTTTTTTCAGCCTTACCATGAGTTTAATTTTTTGGTTTCCATGTATTTACTATGGCCGGAAGAAAAATTTTCGGGTGAATTTTTTTTCGGGCGAAACTCAGGTTAAGCACAATATGAAAACTGACAGATGTGAAGAACTCATTTTCCACTTAAATTGCTGGTGAAACCGGCAGTTAGTCATTAGTTTCGAAAATTCAACGATCACAAGAAATGTTAGAGGCATTCCTGGACATAGCCGAGGCTTTTAACAATGTCCTCCCGTATGCGATTACCTCCGCTCTGACAGACCCGCGAGACAACTCGCAGGGAGTTACCTGGACAGAAAACTGTGGTATTGATGTGAATCCAGTTCTGTTCAGTTCTGTTTATCGGGTGGTACAAAATACCGGCCCTTAAGGCGGATTCATCGTTTTAGTTCAGAAGAAAAAGTTCAAAACTAGAACGGTGCATCCGCCTTTACATTCCTTATTGCAAGCAGTGATCGGACTTCTACCACATTGTGGTAGATCTACAGCTTTTTTGAGCACCTACCCAATCTACCACACAAGGTCTGAAATCTACCACATATTCGCGTTTTTGAGTAGCTTTATTTTTGCTTGACATAATTTTCTTAATTGTAAGAGCAAAAATTGTCCAACACTAAACTCTAACAACAGGCAGAATGGGAGAATAAAATAAACTGTAAAATAGTATATTTTCTCAATATTCAATTTTTCGACAGGAAACGTGGTTTTATTGTGTTAAATTGCAAAATATATGATTTATAAAAAGAATTAATAGCGAAAATGAAAAAATCCGGCGATTTTTGTGAAAGTATTAGCAAATTTCAGTGCATCTAAAGTTTCTAAAGTGTGGTTTACTTTTACTTGGGATTTGTCAAAATCGGCAAATCCCAAGTAGCGGTTTCTGGAACGAGCCATATTTGTTTGTGATGTGATAAAAAGAAAAGCTGGCAGCACTCCGCAGATATCTTTCCAAATATGATCGAAACTGTCGAGGAAAAAAATTGCTAAAACTCAACGCAATTTTTAGCAACTTCAATCTTGAAATTCAAACTCCAACCCCCCTCCCATACCGAACGCTATAAACATATATGATGGCACCAAACTCGACGCAAAGAAGACCCAAGAAGAAAAGAAAGATACTTATCTTCTCTGACAGTCAAGCAGCCTAGACTCTTGAGTGAAAGATCTTTCACTGAATGCCGCAGATCTCTAAACGAAATGTACTTCAAAAAGATTTCGGTACCCAATACTCCTTTTCGGTACCCGGTACTTTCCAATAATACAAATCTGAAGTTTATATATCACCTAAAAAAACCCCAATTAGTACATATAAGACGATGCTTTCCCAAAAGTTGAACAACGTGTAGGCACAATGTGTGCGTCGAACAACTCTGGAAACCACATATCAACAAAATTGCCGTGGCTATCAACATTTTCATTGCCATTTTGAACTTATAACTATTCATTGTTTCTCTGCATTGTGGCGACAGAAAATGTAGATATATGTTCATACATATGTACATTTTACATTCAGTTTTTACATAGATACTTTTTTAATAGGAACCGAGTATCGATCAATACTTAAAAGTATCGACTCAGCACATCACTAGCGTCAACTGTAAAGCCGACGAATGAAATCGCGCGGCTTTCGTGGCTCTCTTACGATAAAAAAGGCAGGTCTGTACTCTTGGGACTAACACGGAATGAGGTATCCATTCTCACACGAATTCTTACACTGCTTAATGGGCGTATACGCTTTGCGATTGGGAGTGAACGCACCAGACTACTATCATAGCTGAGGAAAGTGTACAGCATCTTTTCTGACACTGCACAGGACTTAGCAAAAAGCGACTGCATACAACGTTTGGAAAACCATCGCCACAAAACCTTTGGAGAATGTGAAAATTAATATCAGAGAGATTACTAAAGTTCATTAAGTTACCGAAATTGCTAGATCCCGAATGAACGTCGCAACAAGTACGGGTCGAAGAGTGCACTTGGCATCACAATGGGTCTACATTTAGTGTAAGTGCAAGGGAAATCTCATTTAATTTTATTATAATAAATTTGTATAGTAAGTTTGAAGCGGATAACAATCCGTGTTGATTTTTAATATTTTTTGTGTGATACTGTTGTGCATTTTCTTCCATATAAAGTATGCAACAAATTTTTACTATAGCCAAAAATGTCAAAATATTGCGCCCTATTTTTTTGTTCATGAGTTAGTGTGGATTGACGCATTTATATACATAGTCTACAAATATCTACTTATCACATAATCACATTAACACTCTCAGTAGTGCAATCAACTTGGGAACAACTGTATTGTTTATTTTTAAATCCTCAACAAGCTGCCTTAGTTATAAAAAAAAGTTGTTTACAAATAAATACATACTATAGAATACCAAACTGATGACTGGACGCGAAGCCATTGAAGGCATGGAAATGCTTTTATAATCGAGGCTCAATAATTTTCGCTTTTATGTTACCAAAATTTCAAGTCATTTCGGTAAGGGGTTCTCTTTAAATGTAATGAAAAAAGAAAAGTTTCTTTTCAAAATAAATATTGTATTACAATTAAATTGCCTTGTACTTTTTCATGGACATAATTCGACTTAATACAAAGTAGTTTAGACAAACAAATATTACGACTGTGATGATGTACTACACGATGATGAAATATAACAAAATGCGCAATATTGCTAAAATGTGCACAAATCAGCCACCAAGAGCAAATTTCACGAAAGCAATTTAAGTAAAAAATTATTTTAACTTTTAACAATTGAAAACTCAACAGAAAACAAGAAATCATTTTCCATTTAAATTGCTGGTGAAACACGCGGTAATAGCCAGTTCCACGAAAGAGATTTAAAAGAAAAAAAGATTTTTTATTTGAATTTAATATGAAAACTGACAGAAAGGAAAACATTATTTTACATTTATATTGGTAAATGTCTAAAGCATTAATTTTTTTAAATACTTCATATCAAGGTTAATAAATTAATTAAAATAACTTTTATTATTTAATACAAGATTTTTATAGTTTTATAAAAATTCGCTCAAAATCGCCTCATGCGGCAACACACAATTGGTTCTTGAACTTGCAATTGTTATTTCCGAAAATTATTTCGGCAAAGGGTGTTTACACGGCAAATTAGACTTTTTCTTTTGCATTTTGACAGCTTGCATTGCCACGTTTAACTGCAATTTAGCGAGTGTTATACTGCTGAATTAAACGATAAAACTGCATATGGGTCATCCCATACAATTAGGGGATTCACAAGACGTGTTAACCGTCGTAAAATCTTAAGGTTAACATCTTTTTTAATTAAAATGGTTTTAGGGGATTTCTAACTAAACCGAAATTCTTTTAAACTGATAAAGAATATATAATTAGCCAACCCCCAACCATTTTAACCGCTATTTTACATAAACAAGTGTTAAGCTTAAGATTTTACGACGGTTAACACGTCTTGTGAATCCCCTAAATATTTACGCCTCAATATTTTTTTGGGGGTGAGTATATTTTTTTGCATTCTTTATCGGAAAAAAGAAGACACCTGTTTTTTTTCGTCAAGATATTCGTAAATCTCGAAAAAAAATCCCGAAGTTTTGAACTCACGGAAAAGCATCCTTTTTTAATTGTTTGCAGTTAATAAACTTTTTGTCGGAGAAAATCAGTTAAGGTATCGAAATGTGCGTAATTACCTCAAATGAAAAAAATGCATTAAAATATTGAATCTTTTTATTTTTTATTTTTTTGTTAAGTTCATCATGTTTGATTTTTATTTTTTTTCAACCTGAATATGGAGTAAGCTGTAAAAATTTGAGAATGGAAACACCAAAACTGTAGAAGTTACGAGTGTTTTCATACCTACGTACATAAAGTTTATATTTACTAAAAGTCTGATCGAAAGCAGAGGTAATTACGCATATTTTGATACCTTAACTGATTTTCTCCGACAAATAGTTTATTAACAGCAAACAATTGAAAAAAGATACTTTTCCGTGAATTCAAAATTTCGGGATTTTTTTTTTAGAGATTTTCAAATATCAAGACAAAATAAAATAATAGGTGTCTTCTTTTTTTGGATAAAGAATGTAAACAAATATATTTCACCCCAAAAAAATATTGAGGTGTAAATATTGTATG